CCCCCCCCCCCCCCCCTTTTTTTACAACTTTGAAACATCACTTTAAAAATTTGAAGCATTTTTATAGTGTACACAAACACATTCTATTCAGTAAATCTGACTGAATGCATTTGACTTAGCATTTACATTTATAATGATGTAAGCATTTGGCGAACAATTTTATCTGAAGTGACGCATTGAAGATATACAGTTTTGTCTCTCATGGATTCCCTGGGAATCGAACCCATGACCTTGACGTAGCATCATGGCCAATTGTTTGAGCTAAAGGAATATTTAAGCAGTTTAAAGCCACGATGTGGGTTCTTTTTTGAGTAGATTACCACCATTTGGATGTAAATATGACCCTCTTCCTTATGAAAATAAGAGTTTATGATGAACATTTTTGTAATAATTGTCAATATTAAAAAAAAAAAAAATCTTAATGTATGCAGTATAAATGTAGTAAAGCTGCGGTCATGCTCCACTTTAAGTGACTTTAAGTTACTTCAGACTCAACAGCACTGAAAACTCTCAACCAAGAGATCAGTCCAGTCCGTTACATTTACATCCTCTATTGGTCAAACGTCTTTGTTCAATGTGAATTCTCAGGTCTGAATTCATGCGTCGAAAAACAAACAAACAACATTCGAATTAATGACCATACATGAATGGAAATGAATGTAGTACAAAGCCTAGTGTGAAATAAACAATGACATTTGCAGTTACACAGGAGAAACAGGCCTAAACGCTGTGTATTTTGATTACTTTGCACTTTATAAAACCGTAAATATAAACAGAAACTCAAACCAGAAGTTTAAAAAGAGAATAATTACTTTGTCTTGACATCCAATCCAGTGAAACAGCAGTTTCAGCAGAACCAGAGGAGACGGATATGGGTCATTGTGCTGCGGTTGACAGTAATCAAAGACAGGAATTAGTTTCCCAGTTAAATGATAAGAAGAGAGGACCATTAACAGTGAGGAAGTGACAAAACGGGGGTTGATGAGGAAGAGCGACTCAAAGCGTGCACGAGAGAGAGAAGGGATGGGGGTGAAATGCTCATTTTCGGTGTCTGTTCCGAGCAGCTGGCTTTGGTATGGATGACATGAATGATGAATTGTGCTGTACTGGTACCACCAGCCTCTCTGCTTCCATTCCTCATTACTGTGTGTGAGAGAGAATACAAAGAGACGGGGGAAAAAACAGCAACAGCAGCCAGGGATGTTTCCTTTAATTAACCCACATACCAGCACATCTCCAACAACCACAAATGGCAACACACACTCGTGTATTTATCTGCTGCAGTCGTGGGTTCAAATGCAGCACCGGCACAATGAAATCAAACACTAAACGTCTCATGCTCCATGCACACAATTAAAAGTCAATAGTCAAGCGTGAGCTCATATCTAATGGCTATGAAGACCAGCGATAAAACGGTGCAGACGGGGTGTTAATATTGCAACTATAGAAGGCAATCATTTCCCCCAATAAATGGGGAAAAAGGGGAAAATGCGTTTAGGCGGAGCAGGTGAAAAATGAGAAGGAAAAAGCCATGAAATTGGGAGAGAGAGGAAAAGTTGCTTTGCTGGCGAAATAAAAGGGCTAGTCATTATTTTTCAGCCTTGCAAGCTTACAGGATGCAGCAGTCTGTGTGTGTGTAGTTTACTCAAAGGGTCAGAGTAAATGAAAACACAAGCCGGGTTATGGGATAAACACAAACACAATCATTTTTCAGTGAACACAACAGCTTTGTACTACACAGGTCTCTCTCTTTTTCTCTCAGCTTGGTTCCTTTTTCGTTCATGGTCTGAATCCAAGCAGTACCCGTGAAAGAATATAAACTACACTCTTAAAAATAAAGTTAATTTACTGGCATTGATGGTTTCATGAAGAACCTTTATCATGAATGGAACCTTTCCATTGCACAAAAGGTTCTTTAGATTATTAAATTGGTCTCCAGACTAAGAATAAAACCGTTCTTTTAGGAACTGTTCCCTAAAAGGTTCTTTGGGGAACCAAAAATGGTTCCTCTATGACATTGCTGCATAAACCCCCTTTTGGAACCTTTATTTTTCAATATAATCTTTCAATATAATCACTTTGAAATGTACAGTATAAATGGCTGAAATGCAACTGATGAAACTGACAAAACATCCCCTTCATTGTTGTGTTTATGTTCTACAGATTGTTCTACAGAAGAAAAACAAGTCATATGGGTTCGGAATTACATGAGGGTGAATAATGACTCAATTTTACATCTTTGATACAGTACTTTTAGATTTACTTTAATATTACCAATAAATGTAATATGTTTTTACCAGCTTCCTGTACTGATGTGACATTTTACATCTGTATTACATCTTTACCATACAGGAAACAGCATGTTCTCGTACCCCAAAAATGAAGTCTAGTCAGCTGAATGTCAGGTTTGGATGAGTTACATTAAGAATTTAGTGGATTTGGCAGGATGGATGGGTCATTTGTAATCTCATTCATCAGACCTATGATCTAACTGCTTCAAACACACATTTATCTGTCTGAACGACTCTAGGTAAGTACTCTGAATGTGCCAAAAATAGAAGATTTATGAATAATTATGAAATCCTTAAAGCTTTTTTTCCAATTCACATATAGAAGAAGATTCTAGAGATTTCGTTCAAAAGCTCACAGTTTTCATAGTACATAATCTGCATTTCTGTAAAAACACATGTATAGTACAGATTGAAAGGGGGGCAGAATGCGCCATTAAAAGACTGTATGTGTCCCATCTCTGTAAAGGATTGATGACTTTTGTCGCCGTTTCTGTATTTATCATCCTTTTGTAGCCTCTCTGTTGAGAAGGCAGCAGGAGGTTGCGCATACAAATGATAAAAAATGATCTGAGTGTCTCAAATTCAGCCGATTCAGCCCGTGAAAACAAAGCCTCGGTGTGAAACGCAGTAAGTGTGCAGGAAATCGAGGAGAAACACGCCACAGACCTTGATGCATTTTTCACAATATACCTTTATTATCTTAATAAATACAAAAAAACAACAACACTGTGATGTTTAAAGAAACAAGTATTAAAAAAGACACTAAAATGCATTAGACATTAGAAATATCAATATTAATTTTGGTATGTTCTGTAAGTGACATCTTTGTCTTATGGACATTTAGTGTACCGGCATGTTTTCAGATGGATGAGAAAGGAATGGAAATCCACTGTCGACAGGGCCAAAAAGGAAGAGAGAGCATAGCAAACCATCAGGTACAAGGGGTTGAGAAACGTTTCAATAGCGAACATGGAATGAACTCTCTTACGTGAGGATGCATATGAATATATACATTTATATACACCCACATCAACACCACCGATATAGATGTAAAATAACCTGAGATACTCGTTCGCACCTCATTATTCCAAACAGCTGGACACTAGCGTTGAATGATGTGAATTTTGAGAGAAAGACACGGGACGGCACGTCAGCCCGGTTTGGGAGGGCTCTCCTCAGTAACGTTGTACAAAAACGAAGATGGAAATAACGAAAGAAAACAGTCATTTCACCAGTTACTCCTGAAGATTCCACAGTAAAAAATATCCTTTGAGCAGCCTTTTGTTTTTATAATATATTTATATATGTAAAATTTCATCAAGCAAAAAGAACCAACTGGACTGTTCGGTAAACGCACTTTATGCATTGGCCAAAGACAGTGGAAACGTTTTCTGGAGGTCTGACTGCCGTTGTACAGCACACACCAAGGACGTGAATAAATCGTACGACCACTATGCCTTAGTGATCGTGTGAGAGATATTGCCGTATTTTTGCAAAGTCAAATGCATAATGTTATTGGCTTTAGCTCGATAGTCATTTTGAGACTTCCACATGTGATTACAGGACGACTATCTGAATCAAGATACCAATGAATGTGGATTTATTTATGGATCTTAGTGATTCAGTGCCCTGCATAGGTAAAGTAGAACTCGAAAACAAGGCTTTGGGACATTGTCAGAAATATAAAAAACAAGATACATTAAGTGCTCAACAAAAATGTTAAATTAAGTTACCTGAATTGATTCTCCACTCGTGATTTGAGACGTACGCAGAATCTCAAGACAAGCACGGGAATTGACGTCTACAAGACCTCTAGAGTAAGGCAGAAGCCTTACGGGAAGGCAGGGGTATTGTAGTCTTATTCATATGGCTTTTAAATTACTCATTTTTCAAGTGCTTGCCGTCAAATTTTAAGCGGAGATCAAAAAATGAAAAAGCCCAATTTAACTCTAAGCCCAAAGTGAACTAATCACCTCCAAACGTTAGCCAAGTTGGTGTCAATTAATTTTGCTATGCTCAGATGGACCAAATGCAAAACAAAAGCAAGTGGCAAAACAGTGAGCAGGGGAAGAGGCAAAGTTGGTACCTGTAGTCCAGTGTAGTTCAAAGATCTGGCCTAAATATGTTCCAATTGGACTAGATTGCGTAATATTAACTAGTAGGGGCAGCTGGACGTGTTGAAAACAGTTTCCCAACCCAACTGTGACTATTTCCAGCACGGAGAGGGTCCAGTTCCTCTCTCAGGAACCCCACTGCCGAAAGCTCGTAACTCATTTCGTCAGAACTGTAAGTCTTTCCACCGGCATAGATGCAGGCATATCTTAATATATCTCTGTACACTGTTATATATTTTCTTATCTCTAGTACAGTACAGCAACTCCCCTTCACATTTCCTTTGCTCCAATTCTTCATGTCAGCAGGAGCTATGGTTTTGTGCTTATCACCAAAATTGCAGTGCAAAAGAAAATAATTAATTATAATAATTATTATAATGACAACAATTAATTCATGAGAAGTATTAACAAATGATGGATGACAACATAATTTATATGGCACCACAGCCCATCAATTCACATATCGTACAAACGACCAACAGCGTAAGAGGGAGGAGAGCGCACAAACAGAACTCGGCTTGCATAGCAATGCAATAACAATGTCATTTTCAATCTCTGATGTCAAGAATATATTTACAGGAAACTCGATTTCCTTTTCGCAAGTTCACCAAAGCTGGGCGACTCAGATCTCATGCCTTCCATCATTTTTTTCTTTTTTTGTCCTCAACATTTTTATTTTTTCTGTGAATGAATAGTTTAAGGAGGAAGGTGGGGGATGTTGCGAATCTTGTGGGTTGCATGTCCATGTTTACATCACATTTACAGTTTGTCCTTTTCATATTTTTTTTCTCTTTTTTTTCCGTCTTCCTTCTGACACTTCACGAGTCCATTGCACCAAGCAGGTGAGGCATTTCCAGAACAGATAAAGGCATTCTTCAGTTTCCATCAAAAAGGTTCACTCTGAAAACAATACAAAGAGAACATGCCGGTCAGTTAGTTCTTTATACAGCTCTAGAAAAGGTAAACCATCAACACTTGACTGGGAAACTTTTAAACCATCAAGGTTCCAAACTTAGTAAAGTTGTACTAGAATAACCTGCTCAGACTCACATAACTCTCCAGAGTACTGCGCGTTGATCCCCATGTAGCTGCTTTCGCCCTGCTCCGTGGTGGAGCGCTGGTGCTGTCCCCTTGTCCCTTCACCTTTACGAGGACCTGTTGACCCTTTAGAGGAGGCCGTCCCAGAAGAGCTGTGGCCCCCAGGAGATGGAAATGACGGTTTGTTGTATGGCAATATGGCCTCTTCTGAAAACATACAAATATCCAAACCCACACATTTAGTGGCAAATAAATCTTTTTTAGCTTTTCCAGTTTGGAACATGTCCATGATTGCTTTCTTTCTGGCTAATACTGAGGTGACCAACTCTTGCCAGCTTTGACCAAACCCTACTCATTAGCAATATGGTCCAATGGCTAAACGTATCTCCATACCAAAGTTTAAGATGAAAATGAAGACATATGAGACCAAACCATACGGCTTGCCCAACCCACATCCCCCTCTGTGTTGCGCCAGATCCAGGCCTGGTTCTTTATGCTTCGTTTGGGCTGGAAACCCAGAATGGTGGATCCTAATGATCAGACAGGCACAGATGGAGCTCGGCTTCATTGCAGCGTGTGTGTGTGTATACAGTGAAAAATGAGGGCTGGAACGATTAGGGTACATCTGTGCAACTAAGTGTGCCTCCTGTCTGCTGGTTCCTGGAGAAGGCCGGTGTTGGCCATGGAAGAGCTCACTAAGAGGGGTAGACAAGGCAATCTGTTTGCTCCAGCTTGGCCTCCTTACAGCAGGGACCGTAAATGAATGCCAAGGGTCCACAGCTGGCGCTGTCAAACATCTGCTTCTGATGACCACGATAGCAAGATAATATTTTACAGACCTGCTCTGCTGAATTAAGAGCATGTTTACTGTGCCAGGCTGATTAACTCATGTGGACATATAAGATCAGGTTCAGGTCTTTCATGAAAACATATTTCACCATCAAGTTGAAACACCAAAAAGGCATTTCTGATGTCCATTAACCTACTAAAGACCAGGCTGGTTAGAGCTGGTTTTGAGCTGGACTAGTTGGTGAACCATTCAAATTTTGGAAGCTGGTTGACCAAAATGTCTTTATGGACAAGCTGGTTGACCACAGAGTTCAGGGGTGTCCATTCCTGTTCTGTGAGGGCCACATTAAAAAGTTTAGCTTTAACCTACCTAGAAGTTTCTGGCAATCTTGAAGACCTTGATTGGTTGAGATGTGTTAGTTAGAGTTGGAGCTGAATACAGGACCTTGGCCTTCCAAGAGCAAATTGACTTCCAAGAGTCAATTTAAGATATCAACATGTCAACAGAACTCAAGGTAAACCATCAATCGTCCTACCTGAAACAGGACCATTTTTCTGTCCTCTTCTGCTCTCCTCTCCTCTCTCTATGGATCCCAGTCTTTCCAGGGCTTGTTGGTGGCGCTCCAGTGAGGTTCGGGCCTGCCGGTCCAAGGAACTCTTCATCTCCTCCAGGCCCATCATGGGTTGCCTCTCCGAGGACGAAGCCTTGCAGTCAGAGGGGTTGGGCATGTTCCTCACCCCCTGGACACGAGCTGTCTGGCAGGGTGGAGGCTCTGGTGGTGGAGGCAGATCTGGGAAAGAAGCAGGAAGGGCCATTTGAATTCAAACAATAGGTACAGCATTTCCATTTATGTACAGTGAGCATTTATCATCATTTGACAGTAGGTGTCTTTTGTATCTACATAAATGCCTTCAAAAGGGGTAATATTGATTTCATTCTGTTTGATAAATGATTATAATGGCTTGGATATTAGCTATTGCTACATGCATTTGCTTATGACCCCATCTGTCTCCTTTAACCAATGCTGACTTCCACATTAATTCAATAAAACATACAAGAGAGATCTGCCATCTACAGTAAACTGGTTTTTGGCCTTCAAATGTGGTCTAAACCATAGCATACATAATTAATTGACTGAAATATTTAGTCCTTTTGGTTTTGTCTTCATGGATTAAATTGATCTAACCTGAACCAGGCTTTTCTAATTATCTGTTCAGTAAAAACTGGACTAAACCTCACCATCAGCGCTGGCATCGCGGCGGTGCGGGGCAGCGCCAGGGCCTTTGTGTTTGCGGGTGGGCCTTGCCGCCCGCTGGTGACCCAGGCTGTGTGTGCCCACCGTGCTTCCATCTGTGGAGAATGGGCTAGCGGGACAAGGTCTATGAGGTAGACCTTTATCTGCAGGGAGCAAAGAGAGAATCTTGTTTAGCCCATAATGCTATTGAAACACTACGCGCAGAGGTGATAAATGAATCTTACAAGGGAAGCATGACAGGATGCTCAGGTGGAGGGCGGATAGCTTGTTAGTTTGATTCAGAAGCAGCAGAATAAATCAATACATTGCATTTCTATTGCAAAGCCTGTTGGAGAAAAGGTTTAAGATTGTTAAAATGGTTTTATGAAGATCATTAAGATCATCATAGAGTCAGAAAGAGGCATGAAGTCAAACCTGAAGTGCACAATAAAATAATCTTTTCATCAGCACCACATCTGTTTCCAGTTAATTCATTCGCTTACAGTGTAAACTGAATCACTTCACTGAAAGCGCAAGACCAAAACCCTGCTAAGTGAAAACAGTCGTCGCCAAAATCCACCAAGCAAAATCCATAAAGATGTTAGTATTTGCACCATGCTGCTTCACCAGGAGTTCACCAGAGTAAAATCAGAAAGCAGAAAAGAAGCAACATTCTGTTAAGAGTGAGCCATATTGCAGTCAGCAAACACCAGATTCCAGACTCAAATTCCTGTTTCCTCTAAACCGACCTCTCTTGCTCAGGCTGGTGCCGTCCAGACAGTAACCAGCCTTGTCTGCGGCCGCCACCAGGGCTCGTGCAAAGCTGCAATGGGTGAAGAGTGAGCCATCAGAGGAGCTGCCGGCACTAGACCTTCTGCTGGAGAAGTTTCTGTCATCATCTTCTGAAGCCGAGCCCCAACCATTCACCATGGAGCCTGGAGGGGAGCGGCCGCATGGGTGTTAGATTGACCAGGTTTGCTAGTTTTATAGTCCAGAAAAACAGGACGTACTCTGAGATTTTACTTTATTAATATTTAAATGCTAATAAATTATTGATGCCTTTATAAAGGCAAACGGCAAACTAAATTTACCAGAATAATATAATGACGCTTTGGTGTGTGCTGGAAATGATAATTCTCTTATCTGAAAAAAGATGTGTTATATAGCACAGGTGAGCTATGTTTGATAAGAGATGAGTCAGCTACCATTATAATTATTAGGTAATTGTAATGAAACTAATAACCAAAACAAAATGACTGAGGAGAGTAGATTACGAAAAACATTAACATCCAAGACAAAACAAAGAAGCAAAACACCAAAGGCACAAAAAAAAAGATAAAAAAGCAAGCAAACAAAAAAAAACAACAACAAAATCACATAAATCAACAAATTCTAAACAAAACAAAATGACTGAGGAGGGTAGAATATGGAAAACATACAACAGTCAAAACAAAGCAAAAAAGCAAAACACCCAGGCACACAAAAGTACAGAAAAACAAACAAAACAAAAAAAAAAGACTAAAAACAAAATTAAAGACAACAAAAACAACATAAGCATGAGACAGTGAAACAATAAAAAAAGGAGCAAACAACAACAACAAAAAATACACAATAAAGGCTTGTCAATGAATAACTGTTACAATACATGCGTAATTTATTAACTAAAACATTAATGTAATTTAATAATTTTTGTTTCACTAATCCAAGCTGTTAGGTTTTTTTTCCCTTCAGTAAAGCATCCTATTTCCATCCTCCATATAATCGTACACCCGCCACCTGACTATACATCACAACCTCACTTCCTTTTGATTGCTCTGATAGGAAGGAATGCACGCACCTGCTCGTGGCCCGAGGTGAAGCAGCTGATATCGCACACGGAAACACGCAGCATGATCAAAGCAACCACACGGCTGCGTGCTGTTCTTCTTCTTTGGCACTTGTCAGATTTATGGCATGTATTTTTTTGATTGATGACAACCCGGTACAAACATCCTCAGGGAAGCCGATGTGAGATGGCATGACTATTGTTTAGTGATCCGAGAGGAAAGTTAAGAAGGTTACAGTGGTTACTCTAGCCTGGGTAATATGTCTGGTTTCAAGATCTAACATTGAGCTAATTAGGTTTTGGTGACAGATTTATTACATGTATTGTTATAGTTTGTCGATGATAAAATACTTTCTATCCCAGCTTAATATGCAGAAAAAAGTAAAACCACCCAATAGAATAAGCACTGCAGTAATGTAGTCCTTATAGCTTAAAAATGATTAATTACTTCTAATAAAAAATAGTTATTTAATGAATATAATGAATGGTAACACTTTATTTTAAGGTGACCTTGTTACACATGTTGCATGTACTTACTATTATAATAACACTTAATTATGCATAATTACATGCAAGTAACCCTAAGCCAAACCCTAATCCTAACCCTAACCATATAGTAAGTACATGTACGTATTTAATATTACTCAGTACTTAAATGTATAATTACACTGTAACAAGGACACCTTAAAATAAAGTGTAACCTAATTAATTATTATTATTGAAAATCTGTAACTCTGTATACATAGTGTAAAGTGCTGGCATATAACCCCTCCCCCCCAAATCTTATTATATTACCTGCAAATATAACAAAGAATTTCAAAGCACCAACATACATTTAGTTTGTTTCTCTTGTCTAAAAGAGAAAGGAGAATAGGATGCAGACCCAAACAAACAAAAAAAACACCTTCCTTGCAGTCTCTTCCTTTTAATTTCCTCAGAAACTGCACACGGCTTTGTTTCACTAAAAAAAGTTGAGTCCCTCGAGACTCTCTCAGGATGTCTCTCAGCAAAGCAAGACTGCATATAATGAATTGGATGTGCTGGCAGAGACGGAGGCGGGTACAGAGCTCCACATCAGAGAGGACAGCTCCTGCAGAATACCTGCACTACGCCTCAGCGCCTCCTGCCTCCTCCAGAGACGACATCCTCTCTAACAACCAGCCACCTAAAACAGATCCCCGAAAATACCACGCTTTCACTCTTCACCGTATAATAATGCTGGCAGCTGCAAAACAATAACAATTCTCTGGCCAACATAAATTTTGGATCAAGTTCGCAAACCCAAATGTTTTTATACAGCGTGGCTTACCATGAACTGAACTTCCCACAAATTGTTGCTAATTTGGAGTTGGCAGTCACGAACAGCAACGTTTGAAGCTAGAATACTGTAGCTGCTATAAATATAAGGCTGATACAAAAATTTGACATTTTATGGATTCAATAACAGCTATTTTTGACACCACTGAAGCGTCTTTCCATTCCGATAATCCACTGTTAATATTCACGGCTCGACTAAATGGAGTTACGCAAGACTGTAAAACTCATCCAACACCCTGCTGCCACTAAAGCTGATTTACACTGCCCTGAGCCCTCATCTGCATATCATTAAGCGTCGTAATCATTCCCCTTGATGAGTAGGCGGAGACGGCCACCTCAGGACATGTGACCTCAGTCGGTGCAAGGGTTTATGGGAGCAAAGTGGAGTAGGACAGTGAGCTCACTGCTTACATTACAACTCCCATAAAACACCCTCAATATTTCACAAACTCATGGATTGTGTATGCAATAAATAATGAAACACGATAAAGAAAAATATGTCCCAGTGATCTTTATTTCACCTTAACTATAAGCTGCCCAAAAGAAACGGTTGTTAAAACTGTTTTATTCTCTTCAGAAAGGACAAATCTCTGCCTCTGGGTCTGGCAGGAACCCGGCACTAGTGCAGTGTTAGTTTGGTGCTACTCTGGGCAAAAACAAAGGGCACTGGTGGAAGAAAGCCATGAAAGGAAGCTGTCGAGAGTCTTACAGGAGGACACAGCCACCACTGAACAGCGCTTGCTTTGTGTTTCTTCAGATATCTCAGTCCAGAGAGATGTCAGAGATGACCAATGCTACAGTGTTCAGGGGAAAATGCACCTCAGAGGTCCAGTCCAGTAAAATAAACTCAAAATCTATCTATATATCTATCTATCTATCTATCTATGATAATGCATACAAGTGCAATGATAATGAATACATCTCTGCCTGATTAGAGGAACACAACTGGCCCATTCTGCCTCAGTCCTGTGGTAAATTGGAGAACAGAGGACTTTTAGATTCTAACCCCACAATGTCATACCCTTCACGTGTCCCCTATGACAGACGGCCCATAAAACCCTTTCAATAAGTTGTAAAATGGAAATGGTGCCTCCTATCTTCAATGGAGAAATGGAGCCATAAGCATAAATATATTACACACTACCATTTAACGGTTTTGGTTTGGTAAGATTTGTTAATGTTTTAGAAGTAGTCTCTTATGCTCACCAAGGCTTTAATTTATTTGATCAATAATACAGTAAAATCAGTAATATTGTGAACTATTATTTAAATTGTTTGAGGTTTAGTCCAGTTTTACTGAAAAATACTTGCTTAACTCGCTTTTAGTCTTTTAGTTTGTTACTCCTCATAACTGTGATTAGAATTTATTCCCCAATGCCTGAACAAACTGGATTTCAGTGCAGCCAATTTCAGGTGAGGTGGGAATAAACACAAGCACCCGCCACACACGTGAGCATAATGACAAACAATGCAGCTATTTGCAGACAAGCAGAGCAAAACAGTATTTTACCATGCTAGGGCAAACAAAGCCACCACAAGCGGTACACATGTGAATAAACCATGACCGGTTTCCATATAAACATCAGCAGTACAATCTCAAAGTGCCCGCTGGACTGAAATATGCTGCTTTTAGATTAGAGATCAGTACCTCTGTTTTATTGTCTTCTCTTTACGCCACACATGCTGTTGAATTGTAATTTGATATCTGGGTAGATCATATCGTTTGGTGTCTCTGACCAAATGGACTGCATTTTAATTAACTTTTTAAATAAAAAAATTATATCGATTTTTGTCTCTACCGTTCATGAGCAGGTTCAAACTGAGTTCTGAAATGATTTAACAGAGATAGAAAGCCCCCGATTACGAGGACGTCGGATGAGATAATGAGCAAATTAAATGACCAACCCTGCACTGAAAGAACGCAGTCTGCACAGGACATCTAACTGTGCACCCAACTGAATAGTTCAAAGGTTTAGATAAGGGCTTTATACTCTTTTTGAAGAACTTTAGAATGTTCCTTCAAAGTAGAAGTTCATATAAATGAGAAATTACCCGTAACAGAGCTGTCCAAGTTGTCCATGCTGGAGCCTGGCGTGTGTTCGATGCCCCTAATTGGCGGCGACATCTCATATCCTTCGTCTTCCTCATCGTCATCTTCATCAGGAAGGTCTGTCTCAATATCAGACACTAGGGTGCTGGAGATATAACCCACGGGCGGTGCAGGGGCCAGGGGCGGGTAAGGCCCACCCTGCATGTGCCTAAGGAGAATTCAAGAAGTCAAACATGAACATACCACGCTTTTTTGCATAACCAAGCAAGAGCTTCAAGGGTTGTCAGAAGGAGACAAAGGGTGTCAATGAGTGACAAGCCTAAACAAAAGAGAAATGCGTGGGGTGTGCTGTCTGTCAGGCGAAATTTGGTATTCCTAGAACATTCCTTGTCATCTCTCCGATGAATTGGGACAATTCGGCTAATTCAGCAGTGCCACGGTTTGCATGCTAACACAATGACCTACTAATTGCAGCTTGAAGAGGATACAATGGCAACCACTACAGGCATGTCTTTGCTGCAGCTGTCACCCACTAGACAGCTAGGTTCGATGACAGCCCTACTGTGTGTCTATATATATGTGTATCGATGTGTGTTTGTGCAGTGCTGCTGCTGCTTTGATGCGGTCTATGCCAGGATTTGTATATAATTATGGGCTCTTCCCAGTCGTCACAAATGTTCTATGAGCAACATACTCATTATGGTGGTAACATGACATCTTCCTCCTGACAAGTAGAGGCCGTTTCCTCGCAGTGCCGATTGTAATAAACGGAAGTTGGTTTCTCTTGGAAAAACAGGTTGAAGCATGGCTTTGGCATAGGGGCTTTATAAGAATGCGTTACGCAGTCTGGGAGAAATGACTATCAGTTGTTTTCATATTTAATTCAGCTACATCCACCTTTTTCATTTAAATCATGCTTCTATTGACAATGACAAACAAATGTGGTGCAATAAAAACAGATATTTTTTTATTCAGTTTAATTCAGTTTGTGTGGGTAAAAAGGAAGCCAGTTACAGTAAGTAAAGGAAAAGAAAAAAAAAAAAAACAGCTCTTTGAATCTTCAATGTTAAATAGTCATTTTTATATTTTACAATTGCATTTAGTGCCTCTAGTGAAGAGGTGCTCAAACTTGGAATGTAAGTGTTGCATTATACCCAAGTATATTAAACTGTACAATTTTTAAATCAAATTCACTTATATTATCCAGTGTATCGAGATCTTACCAAGTCTGTTTAGCCATGTCCAACCGGTAAGCACGGGTTAGCTCATCTAAGTGGGCTTGGAGCATGGGCTGTATTTCTTCACGTGGGGATGGGCTCAGTGTGGCTGTGGACTGCTTGCCAAAGGAAACTGCTGCAGGGGAGGAGGCCACACCCCTTATGGGAGGAGTGGGCACCCGTTCTTCCTCTTCCTCCAGCTCATCCTCTAAACCCTGATGGAGGTATGTCTGCACGGGCAAGGGTGGGCCCCAACCATCACTATCATATCTGAAACAAATGAACATAGAAACAAAATGAAAACAGACCACAAACAGGTCCCTGTGGCACCCCATGAACAGTTGTGTGTTAGGCAAGAGAGAAAGGAATATTGTTTTTTTTTTTTTTTTTTTTTAGAAATGTTAGTCTAGCCAACAGTTATTGATATAGTGAGACTAAGGTTTATCAACATAGTGGTAATGATGTAAATCTTGGGTTAAATCTAGTGGGATTTTCTCAGCTTTACTTGTTCTTTAATGCAGGCTGATCTGGCAGAGTGGCTGCGTTTTCTTATTTCCCAGAACTGTGCTTATACATGCTGAAATAATACATGACATAAAGCCAACGTTCATTAGAGGAATTTGTCAGTGCACATCCCGTAGGACATAACAGTTTTAATCTGAAGCCATTAAAGACAGTGGCGAGATTTACTGCGGAAAGACTACTCATTTGCCAGAGAGCCTATTAAGCCCGATGACTCTCCGAGATGGAAATTAACAGGGTTGAAAGGCAAGCACAACTCTCCGGCAGGGTATTTAATTTGTATCACCACCTTCATGTTTTCTTTTAACTGTACAGATGGGGCGATGCTGATGTCAGACAAGAGTGGAGTGCCATCGTAAGTGAAAGTATATTAAAAGTTGCTGAGCGTGAACAGTTTGTCAAACAGGGTTTTAATATTACATCTCGTCTATTTATAATGGACAACAAATACATAATTTAGTGCTAGTGGTTTGATTAACTCTCTAAGGAATAAATAAATACCATTGGCAGATTTATCGATAATATATCAGCTAGCAAGAACAAGACTTTGAACAATTTCTTACAAACATCATGGTCGGTTTTATTTTAAACCACCATTTTTATCACTTGATGGGAAAAATCCAATGCTTAATAACATGGATCATAATCTCTAGATATTATAGATGTGACCATTGAATTTGCAGTATAGAGTGTCTCTATTACTTGTACTAGGTAGAGCTGAATGAGTGACTCTGAACCCTACCCTCCTCCGTCATGGTGCTCTGAGGCATAGTGGTCCATCTCTGTGCCTGGAAGAGGGTGGATAGGAGGGGGAGGGAGTGGAACATTAGCCCAGTTGGAGCCATTCATCTTGGTGGGCTTGGCGTTTGTTTTGGTCTTCTTCTTCTTTCCGCCTTTCCCACCTACAATAGCAAAAGTTGGGAATATTTTGTTAAAGTCTGAATGCAGAATGATGCCATGTGATTAGCCAATTCCACGTTTTCACCTTAAAAAGAAAATCGATTTATTCCCCACATGACATGTGCTTGAAATTCTCTATGCTAAGTGAAGGCACTTGCAATGCCACTGTCAAACACAATTGCTTAATTGTATGTTAGAATGTACAACTCCAACTGCTTTCAAAATGTTCCCAAGCCAATACGGCCATAAAAGCAATCTCAAGGCTGTGTGGTGAAAGAAACAGTTCGCAGCATGTCAATGGCTCAAAGACTGAAGACTAAAAAAATACTGAAAAAACCTTTGACCTCCTTTTAACTATGATTGCTATTCATGCAACTTGCTGGAATAGCTTTGCTTACAACTCTGGTTCTACTCTATGAATGTGCACTTTTCTTTACTCTTAGAAAAAGTATTGGGAAAGAAACAGAACGTGTCAAAGATGGAAAGAAAAAAGGCTGTTGAACTCCCTTTGCTTTGTTGAACTTGTATGTTGCATCCACAATCTCCCTGGACAAAAGATTTGGCAAATCACACACTTGCCCAAGAACTAGTACGAAGGATAGTAATTAATCACCCTTCTCTCACAATCTAATTAACAAAACCATCTAAATGTAATGGCCATCAGTGCCAGATGAAGACATTTGGGACGAGGAAGTCTTCATGCAGACTTCATACAGAGGCTGCAGGGTTCATTACTCTAAATTATTAATGCCGCCGCTGGCAAACTCGACATGACCAGTGCGTTGCCGCATGTTGCCAGATCCTCCCGCGTTTCAAGCCAGTCATAAAATAGCTGAGGCTGATGGAGTCAGACACACGGCCAAATGCAAATGGGGGGGAAAACCTTCACTGGCAGTACTTGTGCTGTATGGGATCCTATCTGTCATCATCTGCCTCTGTCTGCCAATTGCCTCTAATTATCCCTGCCGCCTCGAAATGTTCCGATTTAGGCAAACCTTTGGGCTTCAAACATCATGTTATTTAATATGATGCCAGGACTTTGACAGGGCTATACATTAAGTCCAAAAAACTCTTTATAAAATCCATGTTGAATCACATTCAAGGGCTATGAAAAGACTATCTTCCCTGGATCTTAAAGGAACATTCCACCCAAAAATGAAAACGATCATGTTGTTCCAAAACCATACGACTTTCTTTCTTCTGTGAAAACCAAATAAAGAAATTTGAAGAATTGTGCTGTTCAGTGAGTTGAATTAAAGACTGAGGCTGTCACGCTTTAAAAAAAAGATGCAAATGCAACATAAAAGTGGTCCCTATGAATTGTACTTTATGATTTTATAATAATTTAGTGATAATAAATAACTAGTTCTTGGAGCATTTAGAAATTTATGAGACACGCTCTTTTGAATCTTTTCAAACAACTGCACTCAGACCAGCATTTGTGAACTGGTTCGACCAAATAATTAATAATTGATAGTTCATAAAACCATGCCTAACTATATTGCTCACAAAATGGACTGATTTGGCTTTTGAGTTCAGTCAGTGTTGTTACTGTTAACTAAAATTTAAAATATTATTATAATTGTTTTTATTAATTGAAGCTAATATAAATAAAATATAAATATTAGATGAAAAAAATGATCTGAATAGAAAAAATAAATATAAAAGCAAAAATAAAAAAAATACAAAAGAACAAAAACACTAAAACTAATATTATATAAATAATACTAAAACAAAAGATTGTTTGCTGAATAAATGTGTGTTCCTCATAAGCTATCACATGGCTTCAGAAAACTTGAAATAGAGTCATATGGACCACTTTTAATGATGTTTTTTTTGTCCTTTGCTTGAAAACTCAGTTTACATCCATCGTACAGTACATAGAGAGCAGCCAGAAAGGGAAAACCAGTACAATGATTAAAAAACAACTGTGTGTCAAAATGAAGAATTCACACAGGTTTGGAACAACACGAAAGAGAGTGTTTTCAAAATATTAATTTTTGGGTGCACTGTTCCTTTAAGAAAAACAAAAACAAGTGTGAAAGAGCAGGCGCAAGAGGATGAGTACTGTAGCTATGCACAGTTTAAGGCAGATTTGTCATACGGTGGCTGACGTTTATGATATTCTCGGCAGTCAGCCTATTACAGAGCGTTCCCATCGCCGGAACTTCTCGCTGACGGTGCGCTATTGTTCCGACGGCCGAGGGAGAGCGGGAGGCATTAGGAGTCTTGCGGAGGGATGGAAGTGTCAAACGAAGATGAATAAAGCATGCTAGTAATAAAAAAAAAAATAACAACAGCCTAGAGGCAGAAGTGGCTGGAGTGGGGGGAAATAATTGGGTTTCCTAATCGTTCCTCTGGGTGACGCGCGGCATCAGCCAATAAATGGAGAGATGGCGTGATCACTCAATCACTCCCTCTCTCTTTCCTCCTTTCTTTCTCCCTCTGTTTGTTGAGTAGAGGGCATCAATAATGTAAACGAGTCTCTGCTGATGAGTCGGGGCAGCTCCTGAAATTACCAGTGTAAGAAATGTGAGGAAAACAGACAGGAAGGGCGCTGTGGGACAGCAGTGACTCGACTGACAAACATGAGGTCGCTTTCTGAATTAGGCCAAACCAGGCCGGCGAAGAGGCAAAGGAATGTTTCATAACTTATAAAGTTGCACACCTTTAACACATCAATGAGAGCTTGCTCAACTCGGACCTGTTCTATCTTGTACAATGAATTATGATCTAATTCTATGTTATGGTGGGAAAAAGAAGTAATAACAGTATTTGAAAATCATTTGCTTTTAGTGGGGCAGTACAAAGACTTTATGCATGTGAAAATGCATGTGTTTCTGATTAGGAAAAGAGTTTTTCAGTTTTTCTAAGGAAGGCTGTGAATTTTGGCTCCAAACACATGCGCAACAGCAAACATGCCCTCTGAAAGTGGGTGAAACACGTTTTACTGTACTTTAAACGCATTTAAATTAATTATAAACCTGATAAGATGCTAAAAGTGACATGATCTCTGATATAAAGTGAGACCCTGACTTGTCAAAAAATAGTATCAAGCAAGCATCTATTTTTAACAGATTAAAAAGTTCTGTGTTGAAAAGATACACCAATTCCCTGATATAAATATTTCAGAATTATTTGGGATAGTAAGCCAAAATGATCCTCAGCAAACAAATGAAGTACACATGTTTTCTTGGAAACAATCAAACGTAATGTGATGGCCTTTTACTTTGGAAATGTAAACGTAACACTTATTTAGTCTCTCCTTTTGCACCCTCAGATTCCAGATTTTCAAATAGTTGTATCTCGGACAAATATTGTGCTATCCTAACAAACCATACATCAATGGAAAGCTTATTTGATGTATAGATCTCAATTTCAAAAAATTGACCCTTATCACTGCTTTTGTGGTGCAGTCACATATATATTCAATTAAATCCTAATAATATTTCACAATATTACTCTTTTTGCTGTATTTTGACATTTGAATGGTAGTGTATATTTCCAAAAGCATGATCTGTATAATTTGTCTGAATGCTAAATAATAAAATACGACAACAGTTTTCATGTTAATCAGGTTGCTACACATGTGATATCAAATTATATCATTACAGCCATTAACATGCTGTACAAATGTTAAACAAGATCAGAATGTTTCGATTTGGTCAACTGATCTCTATCTTCTAAACAATCCTCGCCTGAAGAGGTTGAGATGTTTGACCTAAATCTACCCTTGGAGTCCTAATTGTAGCCCATGAAACACTTGAGCCAGATGCTTGGAGAGCTTCCCATCTAATGTCTGAGGCTGCGTTGGATTACTGCACAGTTAAAGCACTGGCATGAAACTTGATTAGAGAGGAGAAAGAGAGCCACATGGACAGCGAGACGAGAGGATGGGGGCCGGCTCCGTGTCCTATAAATGACATTGTAATTTTCAGTACATGAATTTTATTGTAGCTTGTAACCATTAAAGGGAGGAATCGGCTCAGATCAAGCTGCTCTAGTGCATGTGTGCATTTCCGAGTGGTTTCTTTTATGTTGCAACAGTAACCTATGACGAAACAAACCTCTGCTTAAATCAAAAACACACTGACATTGTTAACACAGGGTTAATGACAATGTCAAAAGATGCTTTGCCGGAATTACAGCGTGTGCAACAGGTCAAACCGAGCCAGAAGATAAAGGTTGAATGGATTGTGTCATGCGCCATTTCCCCTTCACATGTGAAAAGTGATTTTAAACTTTGCCTTTTAACCCTCTGGTGCTGTTCAGTCATTTCTGACTGGAAAATTGGTAAAGGTTTTGGCATTGCTATGTGAACACAAAAAAATCATGGATATGATTTAAAAAAGTTAAATGGTCCTGAAAAAATAGTCACACTTCGTCGTACTTTAGTCGTACTATTCATGGCCAATAATGACTGCACTGGAAATGAATAGGAAGCGAAATTCATCTAGTGAGTGTTTGGTACTGCGGCTAAACAAAATTTGACATCAGATATCAACATCAAATTTGGAACACAACTTGTTTAGATTTATGGCTTTGATTTTCATGCATTTTGAGAGTAAAACATATTTTGGAAAAATATATATTTCATATAAATGTACAAATAGTACTTTTGTGCATTTTTAATAATAATTAACCTTTTTTTTGTTTCACTTTTTCACTTTTTAATTTCAGTAATCTGCCAGTTGTCTTCTTTAAAAAGAGACCAAGCAAAGCATTCAAGTTTATATGACAGTTTAAGTTGGAAATGTTATGCTTGTGGTGAACAGGTAATAAATGAATCATAACTATTCCATAAATATAGTAGTACTTTAAAAATCCCCTAAAAACGCAACATATTAAATAAATTATTGACTTACAATTTCATACATTCATTAAAAAACAACAACAGCAAAAAACAAAACAAAAAAAACACAGCACCAGAGGGTTAAAGGATGAATTTATGGAATCATTATGCAAAGGTCAGTGCTCAGAATTGCCTAATATCACAGCAGAATCATATTTTAGTACTAGAAACCTGCTAGAACCAGGACTTTTCTGTCCAGGCCCTCACACAATGGCTGTAGATCCAGTCGACTTGACTACAAGGAACACAGTTATTACACAAACCCATATTATCAACAGTACAGAGCAGGAGTCATGGCGTATGCACCACGGTTAGTGGAGGTGAAAGGGGAGAGGGGTAGACTGAAGGAAAGATGCGGGTGGGCTGCTGACCCTGGACCGGTGAAATACCAACCTGACAGACTGTTGCTCCGATCTGAGCTGTTGTGGGAGCTGGTGGTGCTGAAATCCTGTGATTGGTTGTGCGGCATTCTATTACACAATCCGTCAGCCAATCGGTAGTCAGGAATGAAAAGGAGTGCTAGTGGAGGCGAAGGGCAAAAAAGTGGCATCAGGTGGAGGGCAAGATGGCACAAGCGCATGCAAGGGCGTGCAGTTAGAGCAACAAGCAAAGCACTGATCTCACACACAACTCCTACTCTATTTAAAAATCCTATTCTTTATAATTTAACCATGCTTAGACTCAATACTTGAAAATGTAAAAATAAATACAAATAAAATGAAATGATTAAAACTATTTTAAAACAAATAAAATTCAAATAAAAGTATTTAAATGTATTATTTGTTATATATTTATTATAAATAATTATAATGCATATAATATATAAAATATAACTATATAAATTTATTACTAGTAATCATGTTAAATTATTTATAATGATATTAAATATAAAATTCTATAAAAAATAAATGTATAACAAAACATAACATAACATAACATAATATACAAGTGGCTGCGTTGATAAAGTGTTCTAAATCATTCACTTACAAGTCTTTCTTTCTTTCTTTCTTTTGGTTAGGATGCTGCCTATTTAGGTAGCAGACAGCATGGCAGCTCACTAGGCTCTGGAACAGAGCCCTAATTGCTTTAAAATCTCTCAATTTGTCTAGTTTCTTTGGAAAGTGTCTCATTCAGAGGTTAACAACATACATTAGTGCTAATTTTCCTGGAATTAATTCAATTTGTTGGCAAGTTAACCAGTTCATGGAAACATTTATACTTGTGATTTACAGTAATTTCATAGTTAGAGGTTTATTCAAGTCCAAATGAAAGCGGAAATGGTTTTTAATTGCGTTAAGGAACATCTACAATTTATCATTCTGCTCAACTGCAGAGAAGTTCATTAATATGGATAGTAGTACTTTTTGATAAAAAAAAAAAAAAAATTTGTCTAAAAGCTTTTCAAAATAGAATAAATCTTGGCTAATGACGTTACATTCTTTTAGCCCAAAGACAATTTAAATAATAAATGTGGTTGGTCGGAAACACATTCAAGGGTCATGGATTTTGTTATGGGCCAATGATACACAGTCTTATTGCTCCTGAATGTCAGAAAAATGCAACATTAATACAACGATGGTCAAATTAACACTGATACAAACCTCAGGCAATATCCAGAAATAGATTTTGGACGCAAAGATTTTGGACGCAAATAAAACGCACAAACAAGCTCACACACACCCCTGCAGCCCTTCAGCCCGACTCACTGTTGTTGCAGGAGTTCTTGTCTGGCAGTGAGTAGCCCAGGCTTGCCATTTCCTGCTTGGCCTGTAGGGAGGTCTTCCACTGGGCCTCAGGCAGATCGACGGCCAGCTCGTGAATGCTGTTGGAACGGAGGATCTGGGTGGTGGCGTAGGGCGTGGCCTGGGAGGCGGGGCTTGGACTGCCGAATCCACCTTTGGTAGTGAAGTCGATGCTGCTGTAAATGGCTCCATCTGAAAGCATGGTGCCCGTCTTATCGGCCTGGGCGCTGGGCATCACGTCTGAGTGGAACGGGAAGATGGAATACAAGGAAGACGAACAAGATTGTGAGGTTAATATGGTGAAAAAGTTATGTAAATTTTTCAAGAACAAAATATTTCAATGCATTTCAATTCAATGCTCTTTAACAACAAGTCTGATATATTTGTATTTTATTTGAAATATTACGTATTTATCTATTTATCTTCAGATTAAAGTCAATTTTTACATTTTTGAATACCCCAACAAATTCACACAAAGAAATAATACTAAAATAATTCTGGAATTATGACATTTTGGTATCTAAGGCTATGTGAAATAGAAATAATAATAACATAATAGAAATAACATAATATAATAGAAACTATAAATATATGCAACTACAAGAATACTTAATAATAATAGAAATTATAAATATATACAACTACAAGAATACTTAATAATAATATATATAATAATAAAGAAAGTTTTAAAATACTAAATCAATAATAATAATACCGATGATGATAATGATAATAATAGTAGAAATAGAAATTATAAATATATACAACTACAAGAATACTTAATACAAATATCTAATAATAATAATAATAATAGCAAATAATAATAATAATAATGCTGCTCAGAAAATTATGGAATTCTGACATTGTGGTATCTGAGGTGGTGTGAAAGATCAACAACAATAATATTATTAATATAAATTCTAAAAATATTCAACTATAAGAATACTTAATACATATTTTATACATATTTTAATTAATATATTATTTATTACATACTATATTAGAAATTACAGAATGAAATAGATTAATTATACTGAAAGTTTGTGGATATGCAATATTTTTGGTGTGAGCAGGCCTTTAGTTTCTTTTCATTCTTTCCCTTTGACTCACTGCTACTATATTCTCTACTATATTACTATATATAGGTAGTAATGCTGTAACTCTACATGTGTGAGTGTGTATATGTGTGTACTGAAGAGAAAATGATATACAGCAGCTGCATCTGCACCACTCAAGCTGCGGGTGTCCTTCACAACTCACTGCTCCACCACCATCTTTTCCTCTCTCCCCCATCACCCCTCTCCTCCGCTGTCGGCCCTTCCTCTGTCTGACAGTGGGTCAGAACCACAGCCATTCGTTTCAGTGTGACAGCAGAATGCGGGTGGCGATATAAGTCTGTCCCAGTGCATGATGAATAAATGTGTGCATCCAAAAACGGCCGATGCAATATGCATACAGGTGTTCATCTTACGGACAACACCAGGGCACCCTGAATGAATCATCGCCCATGAATATAAAAGGGGAAGAGGACATTTTCTTTCAACTGATGGCGTCAGCTTGCTTTTAACACTTTGAACTCTTGACTACAACCGATTTCACCAATTTAATATGTCCTAAATTCCTAGCCAATGCAGCAGTGGGTCTGAGAGTGGATTTACCTCCACGGCCGAAGTTGTTGAGGTCGTTGGGTCCTCCAGAACTGCTGTTCACAGTCAGACTGGTGGCCGGCCAGGAGTCAGCGAGCCAGGGGTATCCTGAATCACTGGCATTCAGCAGACCAGGACGACTGCGGGAACACAAACCATGCATGTGACACTTCATTCTCTAGATTCTGACTTTCCACAGTTTGAGCAACCAATTTCCATAACTTGCCAACTCATTTGTGATTATTGGATATGGATTTGACTGAAACAGGCAGAGTATTTTAATAATTGCTTATAAATGAAGCCTTGTGAGTGTATGAAAGTTTCATTCATAAGCTCTATAAAGCAGTGCATGGAATTTTTATATGTATAATCAGCACAGAAATGTAAAAATGCTAAAATTAACTGAAATAAAAATTAATGAGTTACAACATTAGTAATTTGCATGACATTTCCAGGCAGTTCTTTCTTTCTTTCTTTCTTTTTGATTTTATTATTATTATTATTATGAACTGAAGGTCAAATCTAATTTTATTTCAAGAAAACTATCTGGGAAAAAAAAAAATAAAAAAAAATAATAATAAATACAATATACAATTACAAGATTACATTTATATGACTAAATACAAAATAAAAATAAATAAATAAATAATAATAAATCATTAATATTCTCATATTACTACTACTACTATTAGTAGTAGTATTATATTTGCTCAGATAAGTATGGAATTATGAAATATTGGTGTCTGTGTCAGTGTGAAATTATATTATATATTATATATATATTAATGTGTTTATAAATGATTACATACATTTATACATGTAATTTATACAATAATATTATTATTATTTTTATTTGTATTATTAATATTAATACTACCACTACTACTATTAATACTATTACTACTACTACTACTACTACGACTACTACTACTACTACTAATAATAACAATAATAATACGCAACTTAAAGTATCTCTTAAATGACCAATATATGTGTAGCGGTGTAAAATGGGATTTTATAAATATTTGTATAAAAACTTAAATAAAGACATACATTTGTGTAGGTTCAGTAAGGTATCGCAAAATAATAGAAATAGACCAAGAATACATTGGAACTAAAGTTTAAAATACAGCAGAACAAAGTTTTGTGAGTCTGTTCTTCATCTGTCTGTCTCAATCTAATATTTTCCTGCAGGATTGAAAAAAAAGAATGAATTAAACACATGAGAGAAATCTGCAGGGAGTCCAAATAAAGACATAACACAATCAAATGAAGTGCATGACGTTCTCATGGCATCTCCTTTCAACAGAAAATGCTTATTTTTGTAGGATTTTTTCCTAATGATTATCACATTTTCCAATGTAGCATCTATTTTTATTTGATAAAACACTGGTAGTGTAGCAGGGCCCACTCAATATCTGAGAGATTATTTTTTTTTTTACATTTAAACCTGGAAATTATCAGAAAGCTTTAGGATTTTAAACAAAGACAGCATTTTTCATTGTAGCTTTGTAAGAACACACACAAAGCGAACGCCCTTCCGTACATGCCAACACACACCCTCAATTAACAGATCACCCTCACTATAATACACCATCTTCAGCTCAGCGAACTCCTGTGTTTTACAACACACTCCTCCACATCTGACAACCGCGCGTGTGTGTACGAGCTCACACATAGGAGGCTTGATTTAACAGGTGTTGTGTGTCTTCCCGAGGGTGTGTGTGGCGTAAAGGCATCATTAAGACTTTAAGCTGTCACGGGTGAGTGCTGTGGGCCATTACCACCACTTTACTGTGCAATCACCTCGCTGATGCTTGTTGCCATGGGCAACAGATGCTGAGGAGAACTTGTGTTTCTACCCCATCCCTTCATTTGTGCTGCTAAAGCCACACTCCCACTATAAAAATGGCTGTTAATTTCTCTTCAGAATGAGCGTAGATGGAAATAACGAGCCATTGGTTGAGGAAGGCTGGGAATGTAACAATAGAGGAATGGAGAACGAGTGGAGAGGTGGATGAATGAAGCGCTCAAGGACTCCTTCATTTTTAGGCCCTCATCTCTGTATTTCGCCTTTCATGATTGTTAGAGGAGCAATCTGTGGTCATGGTCGTGGAGACAGAGCAATGCCGGTGCGAACAGGAGATTTTGAAAGAACACAAAGACATGAGCGGAAACCAAAAGACATTTTTAAAAGCGAGTCAGTACACTCAGCGGCCATCTTGGTAATGAATTTATGCACTCATATGTTGTTCCAAATAATAATAATAATAATAACAAACAACAACAACAACAATAATAATAATAGCTATTGCTAAAATAAATAAATGCTTTTCTAAAGATTGAAATTATAATTCAGTCACTAACCCAACCATATGTCGTTCAAATAAATAAATAAATAAATAAATAAATAAATAAATAAATAAATAAATAAATAAATAAATAAATAAATAAATAAATAAATAAATAAATAAATAAATAAATAAATAAATAAATAAATAAATAAATAAATAAATAAATAAATAAATAAATAAATAAATAAATAAATAAATAAATTCTGTTGTTCCAAATAATAATAATAATAATAACAAACAACAACAACAACAATAATAATAATAGCTATTGCTAAAATAAATAAATGCTTTTCTAAAGATTGAAATTATAATTCAGTCACTAACCCAACCATATGTCGTTCAAATAAATAAATAAATAAATAAATAAATAAATAAATAAATAAATAGTTACTGTTATTATAAATATACACATAATTAACAATTAATTATTAATTAAATATTAATTAATTCAATAGTTTTAGTTGTTTAATTGTTAATTGTAATTCAGTAATTTAATAATAATAATAATAATAATTTATTATTACACAAATAAATAAACACATCAACAAACAAACAATGTTCATAATCCATTATGGCAAGCAAGCAATCAAATAAATAAATAAATAAAAAGTTATTATAAATATACAAATAATTAATTATGAATTAAATATTAATAAAATATTTCATTCGTTTTAGTTGTTTAATTAGTTCATTGTTTAATTGTTAATTGTAATTCAGTCATTAGATGATAATAATAATAATACTACTACTACTACTACTACTACTACTACTAATAATAATAATAATTATTATTATTATACAAATAAATAAACAAATCAACAAACAAACAAATAACGTTCATGATCCATTATGGAAAGTCAGTAAACAAACAAACAAACAAAGTTTAGCTAATACACCGCTATTCTGTTTAGAAAGGCTTCATTTCTGACAGCTGCCATGTTGAGCATTGTAATATCTCCTATTCATCTGACCTTGTTTGCCTGGTGTACAGTGTCTGACACAAACACGCTCATCCAAAGACTCAAGCGCTGATGTGCATCAACACACCCCAGTTGTCTTTGTCTCTTTTCTTTCTCTATTTCAACGTGACTTTCTCTCTCGTCTCCTCTCACTCCTGCTCTCTGTGGAAGTACATTTGCCCTGAGGTGGCTCGTCTCCCCCAGGCCCGGGGAACAGTGTGTGGTTTTCTGAAGCCGGGGGCAATATACCGGTAATGGCAGTGTAGCAGCCCGTCGCTCGCTAAGCCACAGGTTTTAATAAGAACCAGCGGAGCCCGAATGGAGGGTCTCGGGCCGAGGAGGCGGGGGTCCTGACAGACTAAGCACCCCCTGATGTGGCAGCTGAATGCCAAAACAGGCCCTCAGGGGGGACGAGTCATTCAAATTCATGGCTCCTCCTCAGACACGTTGACTTCTTATAGGGTAATACGTCGAGGACTACTCAAACCTTCCCCCTCCACCTCTGCATTTCTTCTGTCTGAAAAACAATCCTGCGCTCTGCTCACCTCTACCGAAATGCTCTTTGCTACCTGTTTACAATCAGGTCCTCTCTCTACCTTCACTGTTTTGGTTTTGTTTGGCCCTCAGGTGATCTTTATGAGTTACTTTTCTTTTTCAAGTGGTTTTCTCCTTCCATATTTAAAAACAATAGCTATTTAAAAAAAAAATGTTCCTGTCTTTGAAATAAATGTGCATGTCATTTCAAAGGATTTTTTTGTTCATGTTTTATAAAAATGTATTATGGAAGCCTGTTTCTGCCCTAAAGTAAGAACAAAATAAAGTAACTGCTTTTATTTAAACTGATTTTATTTCTCATAATTGTGACTATGTATGACTGCATTTTTAAATTTACTTTAAACAAAGTTTTATTTATTATTTTTAAAGGGGGAAAAAAACCTTGTTATGTTACTTTAAAGGAAAAAATATTTATTTCATATTTCATCAAAATATTGTATAACTGCATTTTCTTCTTTACTTTTAATTTACATTTTTTATATTTATTTTTAAATATATTTTAATATTTGTAATTTGTTATTTTAAAGAGAAAATCGTTTTCATTCATGTTTCATTTATTACATTTCTGCTGCTCCAGAGTAAGACAAATGAATTGTAATTTCATTTCTCATAACTGTGACTTTCTGTATGACTGCATTTTCTTATTTATTTTTTTTCTATTTATTTATTTTTTATAGATATTTTACATTCATTATTTTAAAGGAATATTGTAATTTTTCCTTGTTGTTATTTTAAAGGAAAAAAAAACTGTTTTCATGTTTCATCAGCTCCAGAGTAAGAACAATGAAGTAATTACGACTTTATGTCTCTTAACTGTGACTTTAAGTATGACTTCTTATTTTCTTTTAATTTATTTTTACATTTTCTTTGTGTAATTTTATATTTTACATTTTTTCCCCCTCCAAGGCAGAAATAGGCTCACTTGATAACTTGATCATCTCTGAAACAACCTTTCTTCAGACTTTCCTTCATATCTGACATCTTATGTGGGCAGGGAATATTAACCAATAATATAATAGTCTTACATTTCACAATTAAATCAAAATCTGCTAAATACTGTAATAGCGAGACCAAGTAAAATATATAGTTTCTCATAATAGTTAATAATTCATTAATATATACAAATGCCCATGTAGTTAGTTACTGTACCTAATACTACCCAGAACTTTCTTGGGTAAGTACACTGTAAGTATAGGTACTGTGTAACCCAAAATTGTTAAAATAACCTACACAGTAAAGTGTTACTGTGCAGGCTAAATGTCTAGGGAATGCAATTTCCTTCAAACTGAAGAGTTGGTAAATTGAGCTCGCCAGAGAAAAATGGAGGTTTCATGAGTTTGACTTTGATTTCTCTGGTAAACATCCACACGCACATGCACAGAGTCGCAGCCAGTCCTCACAGGGATCATTTGTAAGTGTGGGTGATGATGACGTTGACTGTGGTAACGGCGGCTCTGTCCTTGCATTCATCTTCTCCCGTTCGAGGTGATTAGATTGAGGAATATCGTTTTAGCAGGCATATCTCTGCTCTGCAAATCACCGGGAGCGGGGCCAGGGGCCTCATCCTATCCCTGACACCCAGCCCCGAATCCCTCTCCTCAGACAGCGAGAGCGCACTGTGACCTTGAGACCACAGAGATTTGATTTGGCTCATTTTTCCTTGCCATGCTCCTAGACACGCGCACAACTGTGAAATACAACCTCGCAGTGCGTCTGTGAGCATCGTCGTAAACAAGCCGAGTGAGCAATATTAATCCCAATCCTACTTCATAAATCAGCCGGGCTTTACAGGCCCACATGCCCTCCAATACAGCCGCAGAAAGAGCAAGCGCCAGAGAGACCCAACTAAAAGCCTACACATTAAATTATGCTTAAGGCACGCCGAAACACGCATTTGCTTTTCAGATTTACATTGGCTGGAGGATGCTGCTGCTTACTTTGAGCACAGTGAAAATCTAATATATAAACAAACATGTTCATATAAACATATAGATCTGAAAGAAAGGAAGGAAAGAAAGGAATAAAGTGCCTTGCAAAAAAGGACAGAAGGTGGGTAATGGTACACACAACTTCTTGACTGTATATACTATATATACAGTGGGTACGGAAAGTATTCAGACCCCCTTAAATTTTTCACTCTTTGTTATATTGCAGCCATTTGCTAAAATCATTTAAGTTAATTTTTTTTCCTCATTAATGTACACACAGCACCTCATATTGACAGAAAAACACAGAATTGTTGACATTTTTGCAGATTTATTAAAAAAGAAAAACTGAAATATCACATGGTCCTAAGTATTCAGACCCTTTGCTGTGACACTCATATATTTAACTCAGGTGCTGTCCATTTCTTCTGATCAGCCTTGAGATGGTTCTACACCTTCAAAAGTAACATAACGCATTACTTTCCATAAAAAGTAACTAAGTAATGTAATTAGTTACTTTTTTATGGAGTAACGCAATATTGTAATGCATTACTTTTAAAAGTAACTTTCCCCAACACTGGGTACAAGTATGTGACATTATATCACAGATCCATGGACGTGATTTTTAGGGGTGGAACGGTTCAACTTACTCACGGTTCGGTTTGCATCACGGTTTTAGAGTCACGGTTTCGGTAAGGTTCGGTATGTGCTATGTTTAGGGAAAAACTACACTGTCAAATAAAAATAGTCATGGAAGTCAAGAAAGAAAGAAAAACAAGCAAGGCTGTACATAAAGAAATTAAAGTAAAAAATGAATTAAGAAAAACAGTGCAAGAAAATGAAAGCGTGTAAGAAAAAACAATCTGCCATTATCAGTTTCTAGTTCAAGGCCTGACCAATATGCCACCTATTCATCTTCCATGAATCATTTATTCTGTGATCGATTAAGCGTAATTGTTCAGTACGAGCAATTTGGCAGCAGCCAATGAGGAGCTGCAGGAACAGATGCGGCTTCATTTGCTTTCATCTAATTAATGCTATAAACAAAGACTGTAACAACTGAACACATTCTCTCATCATCTCTCCAGGAACTTTAGTCACGGGGATTCACTGCAGAAGACAGATCAAGTGTTCTGATGCATGTAGAGCACCTTCACAGCATAAACCCACCTAAACGTGCAGAAGATTTCAATAAAATGAAACATGTATACTGTATATAATGCATTCTATTACAGTCCTGGATGTTGACTGCTCAATACATAATATAAAATATACAATACAGTAACAGTTAAGATGTGAAACACCTGTTCACTGTCACTACATTGCATTCTGTTATTATTTACATATAATATTCCAATATAAATCTGAATTTGTTCAGTAAAATAGCGTGTAAACAAAAAGTTGTGACATTAATATTTTTAATATAAAATTCGTAAATATTTACAAAATATATTTAAAAAAATTTACATTACAGATATAATTATTATTATTATTATGTGTTGATAAAATTATTATTATTATTAGTTTAAATGGGTTAAAATATCAGTATTTTATTTTTTTTACAAATAATAATTAATTTTATCAAATCAATAAAACATGCTAGAATGTAAATTTTTTACTATATTGAAAATATTGTAAAAGGTATCCTTGATGCATTCATAATGCAACAAATATAACAACATAACATAACATAACATAACATATAACATAACATAACATAACATAACATAACATAACATAATATAACATATAACATAACATAACATAATATAATATAATAGGCTTAAACTGAGAAGAATAAGGCATTTTGAATAGCTTTATAATGCATTTTATACACAGACCTCATACTGTTTGCAATAATGTCTGTCTTAATTCAGATCTACAGAGTTAAGTGCTTATCTCTGATCTCTAGGGTGTTATACAGCTAAAGACAAGGTATCACTATTAAAAAAAAAATACAATTGGACGTCCTCTTTGATTAGATAGGAGACCCATGGGATCTGGAATAGAATCTTCAAATCAATCAGCAGAACTTGACTTCCTGCAAGGGAATCAGGTGACACTGCTGCGGCTTTAATTCCAGCCATTCAAACACCTTCAATCTATTGATACAGCAGCAGAGACAATGAGAAGAGGTGTGGGTGTGTGGAATTAAAACAGAAAAACTGGATTTGGCCTGTCAGGTGTGATAAAAGACACCAAAGAGACAGACCTTCCACTCCTGTCCAGCAGGTAACTGGTGTCATTCAAACGAACCCTTACTCTCCTTTCCACCCCCTAAAAAAACCGAGGCCTGCCGAAAGATTCCAGAAGGGTTAGTCTTGCCTCTCCCTGGGGTAATTATTTTTACATTATTACACATGCTCATATTCCAGCCGCCCAGCTGAGGTGACAGGCAAATTTATCACTGCGGGGGTCTGTACAGGCAGCGGGGATGAAGGGGGGCTGACAAATGATAAAACATGCATGTATATATTTAAGAAAAATATGTTATGTTTATATATTAGCTATATTTATATATAATATAAAATAGAATAATATAGATATATAAATGTATATAAATGTAAATATTTTCTAAATATATACTGCATGTGTGTGTATTTATATAAATAATAAATATACACAGTACACACACACATATATTATGATGTAAAGAAAACCTTTTA